TATATTAATATATAAATATATATATATATATTTATATATATATATATATATATATTCTATTTCATACCAGACTAAAAGGCTGTACATCATAACAATAACTACAGAGAATTACTAACACCATAACTACAACCTCTAGAGGTCCTGGTATCAGTTGTGTACCAATAAAAATGCTCAAATATGTTGGAAATATGTTTTTAGTCTGCTTTTGTTTGCGCTGCGCAGGGCTTCTGTGCCCCCTTGTGGTGAATGATTCTAGCACCGTTTATTTGCAGTGTCCATGTACATAACTGTAATTGCTGTTCCTGTTTAGAAGTCGAATTTGTCTGGAGAATAAAACATGCAGCACAAAATTCATGTTGATGACAGGGTATAAATTTTTAGACATTGTTATGCTTTTCTTTTTTTCGCTGCTGCTTCTGTGACCTTTTCCTGTGCAATCATCAATGTAAATACAGCTTTTTTTGTACATACTGCCCAGAAAATCTGAAACAAATAAACTTGAGTGTGATATTTCATTGAACATGTGTGTCTGATTGTCTACTTTTCGATTTAAATAGCTGAATGAGTTGAGATATACATCAATGCCTGTGATCTTTGTGTGGTCTACTGGCTGTATGTGGTTATTACAAAACTTGAAATGCTATGGATGTGTTTTATCAATTAACTTGCAAGTACATACTCCACACCACACCAGCAGAGGGCAACATTTACATAATTCAAAACCTCATTTCAGTAATTAAAGTGCCACTATTATGGGTTATGAAAGGTTCATATTTTGGTTTTGGGAGTCCCCAACAACAGGTTGACATGCATAAAAGGTCAAACAAAAAAAACTTTCATTGTCTTATCCATTTATTTTTACCTTATTTGCTCAAGGACTCCCAAACGACTTGCTCAACGATTAATTTTTCCAAACCCCTCCTTTGCGTGACGCTGATCTGCGTGATTGGTCCGATTGGTCGATTTCATTTAATAATTAAACATCATATGCCTGATAAAGCAGCGTTTGTGAGCACAGTGCTGCTTTGTGTAGCCGTTACTGGGGAAACAGCTTTTTTACCGCTCCAAAAGCGGCACCTAGTGGCAAAGAATGAATTAGCATTTTCATTCAGACCAACGCGAAAATCAAGTTTTCCTGGGTCTGCGTGCAACAAGTGGATGGGCAATATGCTAATGTTTCATGTTGACGTCAACATGAAACGCCTTGGGATTCGTTTTAAAACCGACTTGTTTCAGTGATTCAGAGTCGACTCTTTCTTTTGAGAGACAATAACTATACATGGTGCACTTTCAGATTTAAAACTTTGGAGGATGTTTTAATTCACTTAGAGCTGTGTTACACACTGCATGAAAGGTCATTTTCACAAATCCATAATAGGGGCACTTTAAATTCTTTCAAATGCAGCTGCTGAAAACATGAAGTAATTCATAAAGGATGTAAAATAAAACCAAATGCTTTACAAATTCTTCAGATGACAGACAAATCACAATAGATGTTCAATTCATTTGTGTATCAAGTCTAGACATGATACAATAGCAAAAACATATTAAAGGGGTCATATGATGCTTTTTTAAAGATCATTATTTGGTGTATTTGGTGTAACAGAATATGTTGACATGCTTTAATGTTCAAAAAACACATTATTTTTCAAATACTGTACATTATTGTAGGTCCTCTATGCTCAAAAGCAGCCTTTAATCAATGTCAACCACAATATGTGGACAGAGGTTAAAATATGAGAAAAGTGTTCCAGAATCTCTATCTGACAACATTTTATTGAGCATAACTGGTATGATGCGCACTAAAATGTTGTCAGAGAGAGATTATGAAACACTTTTATCATATTTTAACCTCTGCCTGTATTGTTATTGTTAAAACTCAAATGATTAACATTAATTCTTGGTAACTGAAATAAAGCTGAAATAAAATAGAAGTATTAGATAAAAACATGCTTAAATAAATAAAAATAGAAATGTGCACAGAAACTAACTGAAGCCAGTTGAAATACTAAAATTAAATAAAACAAAAATAAAATTAATTAAAGCTACCCTCTAAAAAATGCTGGGTTGTTTTAACCCAACTTTGGGTCAAATATGGACTAACCCAACTGTTGGGTTACATTTTTCAATTACATTTTTAACCCACAAGTTGGGTTAGTCCATATTTGACCCAAAGTTGGGTTAAAACAACCCAGCATTTTTTAGAGTGTATATAAAAATACAAATAAAAACTGAAAATATAAAAAGCTGCTCAAAATATTAACAAAGACTCTTATATAGTATACTATATATACTAAAATAACAATATACTACAACATTGCATCACAACACTTTCGCTTTGATATACAATATATGATTGAGTACTTGTTCCAATAAGTCCAGTATCTGTGCACTGGGTCAGAGGTGGGTTGATGATATAGACTGATGCCAGACACAGCTGGTAAGGTGTGAGGGTGGCCATGAATCAGAGTTTGGAGGAGACCCAGTCCCTCTTCCAGCTCTTGTAAAGCATTACTGTTCTCCCAACCCCCCAACTGTGAAAACAGTTCCCAGGGTCAGAACACAGACTTACGAGTAGCGCCTGTCAACACGGCTCTGATGACTGGAGCTGATGACAGTTTAGAAAGAGAACAGCGGAATAAAAGCAGCAGGATTGTGCACTTATTTACCCTTTTGCACTGGCGGTGCATTATGCTGATTCTTTAAGCTTCGTAAAAGTAGACTTGGGTTTTTCTGTTTATAACATGAACACCAGTGAACAGCACAAACTAATGCAAATCACATGATTACATATCACGTGATATACTATTTGAGTTTGGTACATTCCTCGATTACATAACAATTCTCATTACCGTCACAGAAAGGCCAGACTGCCCATCTACATTACATCTTCCAAACCTGTTGACCCTGTTATGACGTGATCTCCTGGTATGTGAAATGAATAACTCCGGCTGTTTTTCTCTCTAGGTCTGACCCTGACTTAAAAGAATATCCTAGGTTCTGTATCCCGAATTGCTGTTATGCTCAGTCCATAGCATTTGTGGCATTTGTTTGGAAGATGTAATGTTGGTTACTACAAAAAATATTTATTTCAACTTGTTTTCGAGGTTAAAGTGAG